GCTGTGGGTAGATCTTCCATAGACCTCTAGATAGAAAACCACAAGTTTTAGTATTAGAGGAGAGTGAATCTGGGAAACAACAAGGCTCCGGTAGTAGGGTGGATCGGACTGGGTGCGCGCTGGGATTGTGTGCAGAATGTGTTTGCGTGGAGCTGCCAGGCAGAGATTTGAACTGAGCTACATCCCAGGATTCGACAGTGACTTTCAGTAAGGCTGGCTATATCTCTGGATTTAGACTGTTATGAGCAGTTTGGATAAAGCATGTGTGAAAATGTTTTTTGTTTTGTTTTTTCAAACGGTTTAGCTTTAAAGGTTATTTAGCAGTGAAGGCATTTTTCCATGGAACTGTATGAACATTTAAATTTGCCCTATGTTATTACAGCAGATGTAATCCAGTCCTTTTACTTTTTCTTTTCTTTTCTTTTCTTTTTTTTTTACCAGTAGAACAGTGGACTTGTGGCTGACTTTTTTCTTGGGTGAGGGTACTTGTCATAGTAGCAACTCCATCATTGCAGTTTCTTTTGCACATTAGTGCCTGTGTGTCAGTGCGTACATGTGTCTGGGTGCCTACGCATGCAGCTGAATCCTGCGACATCTGTGAAGGGTTCATCACTCACTGAAAGCTTCCTTATTGACTCTGTGTTATTGATTTTCGTGCCAGTGGCATTTCTTCGGTTTTAAAAGGGAAGTAAATTCTCAGCACAATTATTTCCAGGGAAGAAAATCCTTGCTCAGTGGAAATACTGTGGAAATAACCTCAATAATAAAATTTTTTATTTTCTTTGCTGATAAAAAAACAACAACAAAACACTTATTAAAGTAGCTATGAGAGGACATGATCTCTTATTATTTAAGTCGACAATAGTGTATAATTTGGACAGCATACTGGCTGTGTGTGTGTGTGTGTGTGTGTGTGTGTGTGTGTGTGTGTGTGTGTGTGTGCTTAGCCTCTTATGTGATGATGATGTTGTAGATTTATCATAAATTCACATCAAATGTTTATGATTTATATCCATATACAGAATGGGGATTAGCACCATCAACAGCACGCACGCACACACACACACACCACACACACACACACACACACACACACACACACACACACACACACACACACACACACACACACAGGGAGTGACACAGTTAGACGATTTAGTCCATTTACAGCCTGGGAACTGAGCTCTGTCTGTGGATGCTTTTGACCGGATCTGCAGAGAGAGAATAGGGCAGTGTCCTCTCATTACGCCCTGCAGTGAATCAGGGAATTTCACCAGTTGTTTTTTGTGTGTTGCTTTGTAGAAAATAACATCACATAAAGGTTTTTATCATGACGAGCATGTCAGGTCACTTTTAATCTTTTTGTGGGTCGCACTTTTTAATCTTTCGGTGCCATAGTGTAATCCCATGATTTTTTGGGGGGGGATTTTTTTTTGAGCCCTGGATTTGATACATTATGCTGCTTTTGATAAGGACAGTGTACTTGAAAAAGATGATTAACTGGAATTACCTCTAGAGCACTGCAGGCGTACAAGGCTGTCCTGGCAGCAGTAATAACGCGACATCAAAGGGATGTCAGAAACCTTCTATATTTTAGTTGAAAAGCTCCGGCACCACCTTGCATGAATCGAATCTTATTGCCATCTCCGTCCTTGTCTGTAGCTCCACGATAGAGCAGAGGATTTCTATAGTTAGCTCAGCATAGGACAACAGCAGTAACAAAGGCTGCTGTTATTCCCACAGCAGGAGCGTATAGAAGCCCTGGCCTCTATTCCCATAACATAGCACGCACAAAGTGCACGTGCCTCCCTGTTGTTGGCCCGTTAGGTCGATTCACTGCTCATCAATCTGCTCTGGCATCATGCAAACGCGGATGAATCTTGCGCTATAAGGGGACGTGATAGGAGGCCTTTACGTTGCCGTGCGTGACTCAATCGTTGCCGCAGCCAGACTTCTGTGCAACTTGGCAAGCATCATAATCCCACGGTGTCACATCCTGCCTCTTCATGCTCGAGCCTGACAAACATGATGCTTTAATGCGGCGCGCATACCAGATGCAATGTCCGACTGCAGGACACGGTTACTGTAATTTGGCATCTGCGTACTTTTGCTCCACCTAATTCCACATTCCTTGTCGATACCTCTTCTCCCATTTTGCCCCTCCTTTCTTCATCTCTGTCTGAGTCACTAAGGATGGAATACAAATCCAAGATCAGCAGAGTGTGTCATGCCAGCACTCAGGTGTATGCAGAGAGAGGCTGTCGAAGCAGCAGAGAATATTGCACAGTGCAAAACATAGCCCTGCGTCACCACTCTGTTGTGTATATATTGAAGGTTGCTTAAGCACAAACAGCAGCAGCAGCAGAGTCATGATGCGGACGCTGATAGAGTGCAACGGGCTTACTGGCTTGCTTGCGAGCACAGACATTTCTGTGTTTGGAAAGGAGGGACATACAAGGCTAAACGGGAGCAGAGGATTGTGATGCTTGTGTCAAGTTGTGTTAGACCTCGTCAAAGAGCTGTTTGTTAATGTATGTTGTGCGAACTGTGTGCAGCTGCTATGAGTATGTGTGTGTGTTTTCTGGGTGTAGCGTTTTAAGACAGTCTCGGAGAGGACGTTGGCCTGAAGCCCCAAAGAGATCCTGAGAGCATTCCTTAAGCAGTCGACTCAAAAAACACACACGCGGTCACAAACACACACCTCAGTGATTACAGAGTGGCTATAAAGAGAGATTTCTCACAAACACACACTCCCCCGCCTTCCTCAGCTCCATGTCACGCCGCCTGTCCCCCCTAATTTCTGCTGCTGCTTCACTTTGAATTTGTGAATGAAGTGCAGCTCGGTTAGTGTCCAGAAAACAGCTCATGAATAATGTACCAACCCTCGTGTGTTTTTCCTCCATCTTTGAATCATGATACTGGTGATAGAAGGTATTTGTTTTGATGTGAAACAGAAAGAAGTCACTCCTGTGAGCTGGCAGCATCACAGAGACTCGAGCGGCCAGTTTTTCTTCCTCTAGGTCGTTCTTATTTGGCGAAGGTATGTGATCAGTGCCTGCTTTGCAACAGTGGCCCTGAGAGGTTTGGTTTTTTTTCTAATTTCTGTTGTGTTTTATTGTTTTTCTCAAGTTGAGTGTGTTTGACCTCTGTACATGTACGTGTCTGACCACCGTACATGCTTGTCTATTTGGCTGTTAGTCAGCAAGATAATGCAAACACTGCTATTTCAAGATTCTCGGTGGAGAGGAGAGGCAAAGGAAGTACCAATTAAGTTTTAGTGTGGCTCCAGATCATTTTCTTACCAACCTACCAGCTCTCAGAGTAAAAAAGTCTGTGTTTGTTAAGTTTTTAAGCGTTTGTGATTTTTTTTAAAATGCAGACAGTTATTAAAGATGGCATTAACATCTTTTGTGTCTCAGAAACTGAGAACATCTCAGTCTCAGCAGCTTTCACCAGCTATAATGCTTCCTTTACGTCTAGTGTAAAGACCAAAAATCACAGGCAGATTGCAAACTTGCCACGTACACACACCCACACACAACCCTGAAATGGATGCATGGAGTATTTATTCTTTTTGCTGCAAAAACAACACTGACATCCTCACCTTATAATGTCGTTATGAACAGCTAACTGTTGCCTAAGCATCATTAATGGCATAACATTAGCATTCATGGGCAGTCATGTTTGTATGCTGCATGTAAATATGTTAAAATGCTCTTTTTGACCTGTTCTTGTTATTTTGTCCCTTTTGCAATTAAGTAAAATTTGCTTTTTATGTGCCAGCGTTGCTGGGAAGCACATTTTGTGCTGCACTATTGCTCAGCTTCTGCCCCTCTCTAAGAGCCCATATTTTAACTGTACAGCAGTTCATGAACTGTACGCAACGCTCGTTCATCATGCTGTCTCTCCCCAGAGCTAGCACTTGACTTTAGTGAGATTATTCAGTGTACAACATAGAAATTCCAACACGGGGACCACAAAAAGCATCTTTGCCCACACGTCCCTCACCGCAATGCTTATATCTTTTGTACTGCACATCCATTTTAGCTTTGACTAACCTGAACAGTCTGTGATCCAGTAGGGAAGGGCCAGCCTTCCTTCAGTGAATCAGCCAATCACATGTGAGGAGTCCTTACCTTGGCTGGTGAGCAAAGCTGGCAGCGGTGATTTATGAGTCCTTTTGAAATTTATGGAAAGTTGTCACGTACAAAATTAAGGGGATGCTTCACAGAGCTTTTTCCTCACCAAAATGTCATTATTACTTTGGAGGAAAAGTGGGAGAAATGTAGGAGAAAAGTGGCTTATGAATAATTGATTCTGAACAAAAGAATAAATGCATTAATGCACAGTTAGCCCCCTCCATCCTTTTCATCCACTTCCTGGATGGTTTCCTTCCAACCAGACAACAATAAAACGATTGACGCCTAATTTTTAGAAATATGAAGCTGCTGATCGTAATCAGGGCGTACTTTCTAACATTTCAACATTTCCAGCTTTTAATTGTGTTCTTTTTTTATCAATACCAGAACACAGAGATATTTTTATTGTCTGCCTACAACCCCTTCATGTGCATTGTAATGTGCACAAAAACACAGCCGGTGGATCACTGAATCATTTACCAGTGCACTACTCTCAGCACACATTTAGCACATGTGTTGAGAACACATATTGTAAAATGGCTTGAATTGTATATTTTGTGTCCTCTTGCTTCTTGGACTGAGAGGAAGAACTGGTGCTACATCCTGCTGTTTAGTTTAGTCTGTGTGTGTGTGTGTGTTTGTGTGTGTGTGTGTGTGTGTGTGTGTGACAGAAACAGTGCAGGCTATCATTACCTTTTCACAAGGACTGGGACCTGTGCAGTGCAGACCAAAGTAAAGTGAAGCTACAGGATGCAAACAGCTTTCAGCCCAAAAAGACATCATATAATTAGAACGAGAGAAAATCTTGTCTACAGTTGACCGGCTAATAATTTCTTTTGTTCCTCTCCTTCTGATCTGCAGGAAACGAAGCCCGTCTGCATCCAGGGATCCAAACCAAAAATACGACCAAAGGGAGGGGGGCGACCACTCACAGTATGCCCCGACGGACGGCGGCATGCCTAGATCACCGTCTGACTATGGGGAGGGGGACCCTCGGCGGGCTCCGCGGGGCCCACACATGTACTCAGATATGGATGCAGTGCGAATGGGCTATCGGGACCGTCGAGGTCCCGGTCGCTGGCACTCACAGGAATACCCACTCGACCAGGAGCTAGATGGACCGCCCAGTGAGTATGACCTCCAGCGGCAGCGCCAGGAAGAGTTCCAGGCACGCTATCGCAGCGATCCCAACCTGGCACGCTACCCTGTTAAGCCGCAGCCCTACGAGGAGCAGATGAGGATGCACGCTGAAGTGGGCCGGCTAAGGCACGAACGTCGCCACAGCGATGTCTCGCTGGCCTACACGGAGCAAGATGAGCCCAGCCCCATCCGGCTGTCGCGTCAGCTTCTCACTGAGCGCCGGCCGCCTATGGTGGGACAGCGCTCCTACTCCGTTGACCGGTCCTCACCAGGGCCAATGGGTCCTGGCCTCGGAGGCCACAGAGGAAACCACAGCCCCCCAACGCCACACCGTAGTCCCGTTCTGGGTGACCGGTCGGGGGACCTGCGAAGAGGAGACCTGGGGGTAGGTGGGGATATGATGAGGAGGCCGCAGCACCACTTGGACCCCAGTTCAGCTGTCCGCAAGACCAAGAGGGAGAAAATGGAGAGCATGTTGAGGAACGACTCTCTTAGCTCAGACCAGTCGGAGTCGGTGCGCCCGCCACCCCCCAAACCCCACAAAACCAAAAAGGGAGGGAAGATGAGGCAGGTGTCACTGAGCAGCTCGGAGGAGGAGCTGGCCACCACGCCGGAGTACACCAGCTGTGAGGATGTGGAGATAGAGAGTGAGTCAGTTAGTGAAAAAGGTAGGAGCCAGCACACCACGATCCTCACTGTCTGCTCTCTCTCTGTTTCTTGTTCTCTGTATCAAAAGGTTTTTACAGCATACAAATACACACATATTAGTGGTGTTATTGTGAAGTCTTAAAGCCGTTCTGCTTTACTGTTATTGAGCAGTCACTGAACTGTAATTCAATCATTGCTGCTGTCTTCAAGTGATGTTGATTATGCAGATGTATATATTGTATAACTTTCAGATTCCCCAGTCTGCAGTGTGTACATGTGCTCTGTGTGTGTGTGTCTGTTTATAAATGTATTTTTTATCTTTAAGGCTCATCATTTTCACTCTGAAAAATCTTTAAAGATGTTTCTGTTTATACAGATTTTTCAATAAAGATAACATTCTCATAAAACATTAAACAATCTAAATGCAGAAAATTTCTTAAAATGCTCCATAACCAGAAATAAGTGCTCTTAGGTTTTGTATTATTTTTTTTGGGGGGGGGGTTGAACATCTTAAAAGTGGCTGTCTTTACTGCCATTTCATTCATCTTCAAACAAGAAATCAACCCAGCCATTGCACACGTGCAATAAAAGCCTATAAAAACTGAAAATGATGAGCCGTATTTCTGTGCGGAGAACTGCGGTGTTTTCTGTTTATCGTTAATGAATCTCCTCTAACAGCTCTTGGTGCCTTCGAGGAGGAGGCCTGTGGGCTCACAGGCCAGCCAGACATGCTTCAGTGTGGATGGGTGGTTTATGTGTGCGTGCGGCTGTGAGTTGGAAACTGACGTAGCACCGCTGATCTTAAGGCTCTCTGCTTTCGCTGCTGTTACGGCACTATTTGCCAGGTCCTGCCACAGCTGTTTGACAGTGTTCTTTAATGGACAGTGTTACATAATGGACAGGCAGGAGGAGAAAGCGAGATGTTTTGGGAGTTGTGGCTGTAAACCGAAACAAAGGGAGCTGACTTTAGAATATAGAAATGTGTTCCTGCAACAAATTTTATCTGCGCTGTTAGCCTTGACTTTACAGCTCGCAGAAAGCGGAGCTGCCTTGCTGGTATTGCGAAGGAGTTCAGTTTAGCAAAAAAAGAAAAGAAAAAAGAAAAATAGCTCTGCTGGTTTTTATTTATTTACTTATTTCTTAAATCAAGGACTGCTTAAACTTTAAAATAATAATGTGGATCCCTTACTGAAGTGGTTTTCTTACCGTCTGCTGTGACTGATATGTTTGCATCTCACATTTCTTCAAGTATATATATATATATTAAAAAAAACAACATCCCACCAAGCAAGCACACACTGACTGAGAGAAATGCCACTTTGCATAGAATCAACATCAGAGGCAGTCGTCAGCTTCTCTCTGCTCCTCCTGGTTGACAGTTGTTGTAATTGCGAATTGATTTTTTTCTTTTTTCTTTAACTTTTCCTGGGATGTAAAACCAGGAAAGAGGGAGGAGGAGGAGTGTTAGGGGTTAGACTATAGAAAGGACAAAAGTACAGTGGCACAGCTCGCCTTTGTCGCTGAATGGTAGATGAAATGTTTAATGCAGAGGAGAGCAGTGGAATTTGGTTGGCCTGCTCTGTTATGTAACTGTTCTCCACTCTAAGGCGAGCAGCTGAGCACCCGGCGCTACATTATTGATGTGGGAGTTTCCAGATTTACAGGTAGCCGTGGAGCAAAAATAGGGAGAAGGCAGGTTGTTTAGAGGGTCAGAGTTTCTGTTGTTTCTGTGTGCGTCTGTCTGCCTGCCTCCTCCGCGGGTCACGCTGCGTAGGAGAAAAAAACATAGGGAAGAGTTGAACTGTTGACCTGGATAAGTATAGCTTCCTATGCTAGGTACAGAACATACTCAGACAGCTGATTATGTGGAGCTTTATTTAGTTTTAATTGGCAGTTTCATTAATTATTTTCATCTATGACATAACTAAGGCTGCCGTGATTCGGTGCATGCAGGGAGTCTGATAAATGGGTCAGCAAATTGTACTGAACCATTTATTTTAAAACAGTGCGTACGTGTTTGCGTAGTAAGTTTAATTATGCAATAATTAGAAAATGCATTCAAAGCTAACGCCACCCCCGATGTGCACATGTGACCCTCAAATATTTCTCAGCTGGGTCAGATCAAGCAGGTGTTTTTAATGCTCCTAAAAAAGGAGCGAGAGAAGAAATATTCCTTCTTGCTTTGTTTAAAAAAAAAAAAAAGAAGCATACAGAAGGACTTTGATTATTTACCAGAGTGAAAAAAGTGAAAAGTGAAAAAAAAAATAGCATCAGAAATCTGCCAACAATACGAAGAGCAGTGGTTGCGATTGCACGTGAGACAAACGAGGGCGGAAAGCAACTTTTTTTGCCATATGTTCCCGTCAGCATCTTGGGGGTTTGTGCATTCAGCTTGACTGGACAACGAGATGGGTGTGTAACAGCAGGCTAAGTAGCGTGCATCCCACACTCTCCAGTTTCTGGTACCTAGAAGGGGGAGAGGAGGAATCTGTAAAGAAGGAGGATGAGGGGGGCTGGGGGTTGTGAGAATAAGAGTAGTTGAAGGGGACGAGTTAGACTGGAAGAGAAAGGGTGTGCCAGCTGTAATGGGCCTGGCTTGTGTCTGTGAACGCAGGAGACTGATTTATTGCGATGGTCCTCTCCCTGTGTTTTCCTCTTTATTGATTCCCCTGACATGCAGTCTCATAATAGTGCCCAGCACACAGAAAAGGAGAGGATGGCTGGCTAACTGCAGCAGACAGGTGGACATTGTGTAGTGACAACCTAAGTTACATCCTCATTAATGGCTTTTGGGATCAGGTTTTGCAGCTCGGTAACCCTACTGGGTTTGTAGTGTTTGGCCTCATGCTAGATCTGAGAAAGATTGTCTTATTAATCCATCCTTTCTCTACCTGAAAGGCATTGTTTTTGGGCATATTAAAGAGGGTTAGTTTAGGGTTAGTTTATTAGAATAGATACTGATTAATATTTTGAGCTTACCAGTAGCTTAACATGATACTGTTTCACCTTTGTAGCATGGTGGCTATGTTTAAACATAGACATTGTTTCGACCTGCCTCTTTTCTGCTCTCACCTCTTGAATTGTAGTAAAAACAGCATCAATAATTAATGATCCAATTAATAGTTTACACTGGTTTTTATTGAGCCGTCAAAGTGATGGAGAGCCTGCTGGTGGTGAACTCCGCCACTGCCTGCGCGCTGCCTTCGACCTGAATCAGCACTTTGCGGGGCCTCGGAGTCGGAGCGAAACGGCAGGGCCGAGCGCAGACTGCTGATACTCACAATTTATGGCCGTGATGAGTTTCCTGCTTGCTGAAAAATCAGACAGTGCCTTAAAGGGGGAATGGTGCCCATTTGTGGCATGCCGCTGTTAATAAAGCTTCAGGGAAAGTAAGGAGAGAAGGCTGGGTGTGTCTCGGTGCTCACTCAAATTCTTTTTCTAAAACATTAAGAGTGGGCTGGGGAGGGGCCTGAAGATGGAGGCGTGCCACAGGAAGAAGAACACACATAGGTGGAGGTTGAACTGTAAATGATGGAAGCTTGAGATGAGCCACATAGTGTCTATATTCATTCAGTCTATAGCTCCACATCAAACACACTACACTCTCATTGGAGAGCAAAGTGTGCTCTGGTGTTACGCTGCTGACAGAAGAGCAGCTGAAAGGCAAAGGAGGTAATTACTATTGTCAGCTGTTGGCGAGAGGGCCACGGAGGCCAAAGCCTATCTGGGGACATCCATAATAGTTTATCACAGCACATTACTACATACACTAAGTAGTTACAGTGCTTCTTTAGAATGATGGATGGATAGTAATACAAAGGGTGTTGTTTGGCCTAAACTGACCTTGCAGCTTGGTCACAACAAAATTGCAAGTTGGAAAATGTTATTGAAGATCTTTTTCTTTTTACTATATTAAAGGGGGAATATTATGATCTTATTTCTTCTCATCATTTCTTCTTGGACTCCTCCAGTGTAGCTTTGTATGATTCACAGTCCAAACTAATCCTTATTTGTCATATACTGGACTAGATTGTGCTCTTTCTGAAACAAATCATTTAAGTTCCTTCACCTTTAAGTGAATTTTCTTCTGATTCACAAAAAGAATAATAAATAAAAAGTCTTCTCCCACTGATATCATATAGAACCAAGAGTACAAAAAATTAAAAAAAATCAGTGTTTACAGCAGTTTGACACTTGAGATTTTGGCTAATATTGATTACTTATACATACTGACACTACACTGACTTTGTTATTTGAAACTTGATTTGCAACCAAGATAAAATATGGATAAGACAGGACATAAGATACATTGTGTTTTAATATTGAAAAATATTGAAAAAGAAAGCTAGGAAGTTAAAAATTAATTTGAAGCCAGAAACAGACCTTCTGTTTAAGAGCCACAGTTCTGCAGGCATGTCTCTTTACGAGAAGCAGGTTTTCTTTTAAAGGTTAGAGCCTGAGAGATTTATCAGTGAGCCAGTATTATCGGCCGATAGTAGTTATTTGCTAAGTGGCATTGGCGTTTATGCCAATAAATGAAAATTTAAAAAGTAAAAAAAAAGGGAGAAACACCTTCAGTGATGTTATAAGTACCAGAGCGCACTCTGCAACTTTCCAGTTGGCCACCTATGTTTGGAAACACAACAGCCAGCTGATCCGAGCAGAGTCAGGCAGAGCCTGTATGAGTGCATAAACAACTGGAGATAGCAAATGTTATGGAAGGCTGTTTATCCTTTGTGTGTCTTAATGGGAAAAACTTTTTTATTTCCGATTCATTGGAATATTAATTTTCAAAATCTCCAAATAATTCTGTACATATCTGTTAAGAAAGTACTGAACCCCATATTACCCCAGTGCAATGAGGGATTATTTAAGACATTTCTGGCTATGTGTATTCACAGTGACCCTGTCTTTATGCAAATAACGTCTTCCATGCAGGTTCTTTTTTGTCCTGTGCTGAAAATTCTTTCTCTTTACCCCTGTCCAGTCCAGCCTCCCACCACCTCCTCAGCCTCCACATCTAGCAGCATATGCAGTCTATTTTTATGCCTTTCCATCAGCGTTCCCTGATTTCCCTGAGATTGAATCCTGAGCCAGATAATACTTGAAGGAAGCCTGTCCTCTATAGATCCATTAGGTTCTACAGCTCTGTGCAGGGGAAGTGAAGTGTGGCGAATGTGATGTATGTGGCCCATGGGTTAAACAAGTCGAGTGTTTTCAGATGACCTCACTTGTGACTGCAGCCCTGAGGTCCGCTATTGACTTTGTACATCTGTGCAAACACACAAGTCTACAACAGCATGTTTGCTGCCAAGAACACGTTGTGTGTCTGTATTATTTAAATGGCCCATTCTTCGGTAAATGTTTTAATAAGAGCAACTTTATTTCCCCTTTGTAAAATGAATTGGCATCATAGCTGAATATCATTTAAATGAATTATGCATTGTAATGGGATGCTAAAATGATGTTACTGACTGAAGTCCTAGACAGAGAAGAGCAGGATTTGACTCTTAACTTGTGCCTGTCTTCACCTCCACACTGCTCTCCCCTGAGAATCTCAGCACTACCTTTGGATTCAATATTTTTTGCTCTTTTTAATTAGCTTTAAATGTTAAGCTTCTTAATCAAATTGAAAGTGCTCATCTCACTGCTCTGTACATCCACACTGGAGAACAGGACAAACCCTGCAGAATCACAAAGTTGCTTCTGGAGATAGATGGATAGTTTTGATCGGTTCACATTTGTCTCATTAGAAGTCTTCCCTTTATAACTGATTATTGTCCTGAAGGCACGACAAGAGTAGAGAAATGCCCCAGAATCCTTCATCCTGCGATCGTAGCCACTTGCCTGGCTTTCTCAAGGCCATGTATCCGTCGATGCTACGGCAGAAGTTGTAATCAGAGCCTCATCTTTAAAAGCTCTCCCCGGTGCACTTTAGATCGAGGTCAGTTAAGGTTGTGTGGCATTGCAATCTGAATCCCCAGTTAAACACATTAGAGGTCTGCCCTGCTCCCTACTATAGATGCAGCTTCTTTAGAATAAGATAGCAGTGTGCTGACTTTGTTTCAACAAAACAGAATCTGGCCCGAATGTTTCTGAAGATTGCCGTCTGAAAATAATCAGAGGAATGTAACGTGGAACGTGTTTCGATTGAAAGCAAAGTTTGCCTTAACTATATCTGAAGAAATGAAGAAAGGTCTATTTCTTCACCTGCTCAGGAGGGGCAGCTAATCTGAGGAAGGCTGACTAAAAGGGAGGAGGATGGGAACTAAAAATTCTTGTGTGATATGTTTCATGAACTGAGGGGACAAAGCCGGATTATTTTGAACTGTGAATCATGCAGAACTACCTATTAGCCAAAGTATTGTAAAGAAAACAAAACTTCGCTCTGTGGCCTATATGTTATCTTAATGAGGCTCTTTTCTCTTTATAATCATACTAAACATATTTATTTATTTTAAATGGGCCGTTTATCCTTGCCCCGCCCACTCCTTGTCTATTTGTCTGTTTATCAGAGGTTCCTAATGTGCTGTTGGAACACATGTAATACCTTTAAAGGATTTGAAGCTTCAGATTGTGCTTTTGACTTCAGCCATGGCTTGCGTCTTGTTTAGTTTTAAACTCAATCCATCTGCGTCTTTTCCTTCTCTGCAGGTATTTTAGGAGCGGTTATCTCTCTTGCTGAATTATGGGAGCATGTGAGCACTCGTGTGTTTACGTGTGTGTTTGTGTGTGTTGGAATGTGAATGATTGGATGTCTTATTTCGAGTTCTCTGTGTGGGTGTGTGCGCGCGTTAATGTCTGTACTTTGTGGTGTCCTCACTTGTCCCTCTCGATGTCCTCTCTCGTGTGTATATGCCCTCCCTCCCACCTTACAGGAGATTTGGATGGCCATTGGTGGGACCATGCGTCATGGCATAGCAGTGAGGCTTCCCCACTGTCTTTGGTGAGACATGTGGAGCCCTGCGTTGACCCTCCCTCCCTACCACCCGCCCCCTTAAGCCCACCTCTCTCTCTCACTCTCTCTCTCCTTCCCTCTCTTTCTGTCTCTCTCTCTTCTCTCCCCCGTCCCCTGTCCTCCCGGAGTCTTTTTGTCATTTCATGTTTCCTTTGTTTTATTTACACCTTTGCATGTTGTTTTTTCTGTTTTTTCTTTCTGTTTTTTATCCCACACCTGTAGGGGACAGTCAAAGGGGAAAAAGAAAAACTATTGAGCAGGCATTTATGTCCGAGGCGACACACACCTTATCTGAGAGGCAAAAGAAAATGGTGCGCTTTGGGGGACACTCATTTGAAGAGGACTTGGCATGGTGTGAACCGCAGGTTAAAGACTCGGGAGTTGATACGTGCAGTAGCACTACGCTAAACGAGGAGCATAGCCATAGTGAGAAGGTACTGAGACAATCTAGCCTGCTTTTTTTTCTTTTTTTTTGTTATGATTATTATTTATGACCTTACCCATCCAGTCTTTGTTTGCTCTCTGTCACCAAGTGTAAATAGGTGAGATGTCTGTTTTATGGATTTTATTTAACGTTGTATAAATTGATTTCTCTTGCGATTTTTAAAAAAATTGATTTATTGTTTTTGGTTCGGTTACTTTTGGCTCCACCTCGGTGTTGCCTTAAAAATAAAAGTCATTTGGGGACACCCTCTTTGCTTGCTACTTGTACTTGCTGTATTGCTCCCCAAATAGAAACTACACCTCTTTACAGTAGCTGTAAAAGACTTGGGCATTGACACACAACCTCTCTGTTTGTCATGGCACTCAGGAATGTGGGTCTCTCCTAGTTGCATGCTCGTTTTTTTTCCTCCGTATGTTGTGTTCTTGCTCTGCAGCGGTCCTGTTTAGTGTAGTAGGAACACCCTTACTCGGGCCCGTCCCCTCTCACTCTGCTGCCCTACCCCACAGCACCCAGTCCAGACAGATCCTGTCCCCTCTGCCCAATTTTCCACTCACTTCTATAGAAAAAAAAGACACAAACACACTCACAAACAGGGAAGATTGGATTAGTTTTGCACCAAAAAAACATTTGTTTTTCTTTTTTCCCTTCCACTGCTGCATCTGTGATATCACCCTGTGTCTCATAGCTTTATTCTGTGCTGTCTGTTTTTCATCCTTTTTGATCTCTAATGTGGCACCCTAGGATCTACTTCATCTGTATCACGTCTACCCCCCTCCCTCTTTTTTTTTCACTATCTGCTTTTCCCCTCACTACTCCACTTGATGGTGGCCGTGTGTTTGTGTGTAGCAAAGCACCAGAGTCACACTCTGGTCTTCCTGCTCCCGTTTGAAGAGCTGGTTTTAGGAGGAGTGTTGAGGCTGCTTGCTTTACTCTGCATGGGGTGCTGCATGAAGCTTAACTCCACCCTCACACCGGCAGGTTCACACAAACTCTGTGAGACAGTAAATGAGCTGTGTGTTATTTGGAGAAATTTCAAATTTTCCTTTGAACGCTTTTGGCCTAACAGATAAAACTGCATCACCTGGAGTTTAAATTACTGAGCTATCCAAGTTTGTGTGAACATTCTTCCCCCAAGTGAACAAATAAAGTGCTCCCTTCATGCCCTCCTTTCACTGTTTTGTTGTCTGCTTTGGTCTGAAGTAATCGAACTGAAATGGATGACTTGTTAAACAAAAGGTGTGTTGTTGCTCTGACCTTGTAGCACCCAGTGACGTGGCAGCCGTCCAAAGATGGGGATCGCCTAATAGGGCGCATTTTGCTCAACAAGCGCATGAAAGATGGAAGTGTGCCTCGAGACTCAGGTGCTCTGCTTGGTCTGAAGGTGAGCTTGCAGCCTGTGTGGGCGTCATTTGCACTGCACACACTCATGTTGAACTGCCATTAGAATATCCTGTTAAAATATGCATATTTAGCACAGTGACTTTAACATTTTACCCAGTAGGGTTCAGTCAAAAGGATCAGTGTTAGATGTGGCATTTAGGTGGAAGGTTAAAAATTTTGTGCCTTTTTTTTTTAGGTTTCTTCACGGCTTTCCGTTGTTACATCATACAGTAGTACGAGTCACTATTAATAGCCATTATATTCCTGATGAATATTAATACGTGTTGTTTGATACTGGGCTCTCTAATCTTCTGAACTCATTCATACTGAGCTACTTCAGTGAACAGAATTCAGCTGCTCGGAGGAAACAAGTCGGAGCAGAACCTCCCAGTATTGTCCCTGCAGTTATTCCCTATTTGTGCATTATACAGTACCATCACGTTCTAATGTAAATTTACATTCTTTGCTCTCTGTGTGTCTTTTTCTTATAGTTTTAGTGCTGCCTGCTTCTTATTGATCAAATTCTTTATTGAATGCTAAGTCAGTTTCCCTTTCAGTGTCTCCATCTATTCAAAAAGCATATACTTATTTTTATATAGATAGTAGTTTTGTTTTATCCTTCACTGTTGTGTAATTCTGTCGGTGGTGCGTACCCTTAAAAAAATAAGAGAGCGGCCGAATGTCCACAGGAGCATGGCAGCAGCCGCTGGAGAAAGAAGCGAGAGCGGCAAGATGGGGAAAAAATCATTACTGATTAAATGAGCCTCCTGAAATGGCATGTTTGTGTCTGCTCAGTGCTTCTGTGCATTTCTGTCCGCTCAGCAGCAGCCACCCAGCTCCACAATCCAGCCAGTCAGTCCATCAGTCAGGTTGCCAGCCTCACCCTCACTGCCCATCTCTTTCTCTCTCTTATGCTCTCTTCATCTGCAAGCCTCCCTCTCTCTATCTCCTGCCTGTTACATAAAGCCATTTCATTTAGCAGACTTCCCTAAGCTCCTTTGTATGTTGGCATTCAGCTGCCATTAAGAGGGGATTTTTATTTGTATGATGCCAGTGTAAGCCGAGGAGAGTGGAGTACAGCAGCTCAGGACTGTACAGTACAGCTCTAGCCCACGGCCTTGCACTGTTACAGAACCACGGTACAGCACCGGAGTTTTTCCACGGGGAACAAAGCACAGTCCTGGACAGTTTCTGAAAAGATTTAGACTTTTAACACTGACCTTCTCCCTTCCAGTGTATTTCTTGTGGTTTCAAACCTCACAGGCAAAAACTGAAGCCATAACATCAACAGAATGCTTTGAGAAAATAAGTCCATGTTATCCTATGAGCTGCAGGGCTTGCATGCTAATGCGCTGCATTAAATCTACAGTTATTATGACATAGCTCGACTTTTGTTTCACAAATGCATTTTAGTACCAGCGCAGTCACCTCTCTGTTTCTACAGGTGGTGGGAGGCAAGATGACAGAATCTGGTAGACTTTGTGCTTTCATCACTAAAGTGAGGAAAGGAAGTCTAGCAGACACTGTTGGACACCTCAGACCAGGTATTGAAACACACACGCACACATTTATGAAGAAATTAAACTGGCAAAATTCAGCTGTGACGACAGTGTGAGCAGAAAGGATTAAGATCTTCCACGTGATGCTGAGCATCTCTGGTGTTTTTGCAGGAGATCAGGTGCTGGAGTGGAACGGGAAGCTTTTACAAGGAGCCACATTTAAAGAAGTTTACAATATCATACTAGAATCCAAGCCGGAGCCGCAGGTGGAGCTGGTGGTCTCGCGGCCTATAGGGTAAGATCTCGCAACCAGTGTCACACATGCAGACACACACTGTTCTTCACAACACAACTTTGGTGATCTTGGTGTTAATAAGCAACAGGATGCTCTCGCTCACACTAACCAAGGTGTTAGGCATGGGTGAGAATTTGCGCTGCAATTGTGTTACTTTTCCATACAACACAATAAGCATACTGAAGCAGACGAGTTCACTAGATGTGTTAAAATTGTGATTTGAAAATGTAATTTTTAATTAAGCGAAGCCAGCACTAGGATCTGTCAAGGACATCGACCTTTTTCCCACCATGTGCTTGTGCTGGGATAGTCTGTGACCCCCAGAAAAGGAATTGTGTGTTTAATGATAAAACTAAATATGGTGCAGGACGATAATTCAGACCAAGGAGAGGCACTATAAGAAAAAAAAACTCTTTTTTTGATACATACTCAGAACAGGGTGAGGTCTCAGTGATGGGAGAAGCAATTATCTGGTTCAGGGGTGTCAAACATATGGCCTGGGGGCCAAAGACTCCCTTCCAGCCCACTGGATGGCCTTGGTAAACGTGAAGGAAGGAATAGATTCTGTGCTTCAATGGTCATGGTCATTCACACTACACCAAAAGGTACTAAGTAATAAATAAACAAAAAATATCCTGAACATTTCCCTATCTCCAGTACAAGTTTCTGTGTTTTATAGTGGGTCCAAAGTTAAAAAAAAATCAATTTCCTTCAGCAACATTTCTTTATCATGTGGAAAAATGAAGATTTACTGTTGAAGTTCTTTTTTCTTCTATTAAGATGTCTAAACATTTCCATGTGTGGCTAAACTTCTTCACGCTGACAGAAGGGGAGTTTTTACTGGTCTGGCCCGCTTAAGCTCAAACTGGGCTGTATGTGGCTCACGATGTAAAATGAGTTTGACGTCCCTGCTCTAAATGAATCCTGACATCTCAGATCAAGAGTGGGATTCATCTAGAGAGGGGCCGCTTTATTACACATACCTCCACTGCATATACCTGGAATCTGTGTCTAACAGCCAGTCAGATGAGAAGCAGAGTAGAACTTCTGCTCCTGTTGTGCTGTGTGTGGAAATGCATGCTTCAAGTATTTCTTTAAAAACAAAGGAAAGAATGGGACACACAGACAGCTCTGAGACACACAATTCACATTTATAGATGGATTTTGACAGACATTTCAGTATTTTATGAAACAGATGTGATATGAAAAATATTTGGAGTGATGTTGGAGAGCTCTGTATGTGTGGCTGAGGACGCACCAACAGACTTTGCAGTACTCTCTGCAGTTATTATTATGGGAAAATCTGTGTGAAATGTAAAGCATAAAGTTTAGGTTATATTAAATCTATATTAAGTGTATAAACAAACCTACTTGTATGAGCATTCATTCTCCCGCTTTGACCAATGCAGAATTTACAGGACTCTGTAGGATATGTTGTTACTCTAATCTTAGTGACTCATATAGTTTCATTTAAATACTTTCAGTATTTTGTCTTCCTAAACTCCTAAATGCAAAATACCAGCTACAACAATAAAAGACTTGTCCCTGCTTCACTCTCACGTTGGTGCAAACCATGCATAAATCTGGACTTTAGCACTAGTCAGTATTTCAAAGAATCACACTTTAGATTGTACCAACATCTCTTACCTATTTGATTTGATTTCGCTGTAAAACTATTACAGTGCCAAGATCTGTAGGTTTGTGCCACATAGCTGCCTCTGTGACTCAGAATAGCTTCATATTTTTGGAATGTGGAGACTTGAAAAGGGGAATCTGAAGGGAACATAGCTCAGAATGTGTTTGCGAAGGAGCTGTGCCGAGCTGTTTATTCAGCATCTGTTCCTCCCTCCCTCTGGCTCCGGCTCTGCCATTTCTGGCCTCATAAGGCACCAAAGAATGCCGGCCGGCAAAAAACTTGAAAGCCCGTCACATTGTTTATCCTCTCCACTCCGATTGCTTTTGAAAGACAGAGGCACCTTTGCTTTGTCGATTCCTAGGTCTGACCTGCTTTGTGCCATTGAGGGGGCCGTTGGGTGAATGAAGACTAATGTGGTGCTTACGGTCATTAAAGCGCAGTGCATTCGGTATTAGCTTAAATTGATCCGCTCCATCCCCCTCCTTCTCTCCTGCTTCTCACACTCTTTCACTTTCTTTTTTGCTTTTTTTTTTTCAGAGATATTCCAAGGATACCAGACAGCACACACTCACAACTGGAATCAAGTGAGTTCTGTCAACATTTTTTCCGTGGGTTTGACAGTGTGCCGTTTGATCCTATTAATCATCCCAGAAACACCAAGTGAAGGAAATGTCTGTTTGGCGCAGATTGCGTTTGTCACCCTGCCTTTTTATCTTCTCCCACATGGCAAGATTTTTGTGCTCTTTTTGCGTTTCCTTTCTTTGTATGTTCTTGCTACAATCTCCAGTTTTCTCCCTGTGTGGCGCAAAAACTACAAACAGCAAACAGATGGGTGGATTATCTGACTGTGTCGTCTGTGCCCTGCCAGGTTCGAGTTCTTTCGAGTCTCAGAAGATGGACCGTCCTTCCATCTCTGTCACTTCTCCTATGAGTCCCAGCATGCTGAGGGACGCCCCCCAGTACCTGTCAGGACAGCTCTCAGTAAGTGAGCTCAGCTCCACATATGGGCTACATGTAAAAGCCGGGAAGAGGATTGGATTGTTAGAGAGGATTTAATTGCTTTTGAGATCATAGATGAGCTAGTAAGTATAATTTTCCCATTGCAGATTCATTATGCAACCAATTATTTTCTTTTTTTTAGTTTAAATCTTAATTCAAACCCTTGTTAAACGTTGTCAGACTCAGCAAACTCACTCAGCCTGTTCAGCTGGCCCTTCACCAAGCCAGCACAGGACTGTAGATCAGATTACGTTGTGTGTTGTTCATTATCCAGTATAAAAACCCTCCTGGGGTAAATTTGGTAAAAGGGCTGCATTAAAATGAGATAAATCAAATCTTAAATTTAGGATTCAAGAATGTGCTTTTCCTGCTCTTTCAATATTTATGAGAGCCTCATAGAGTATTTGGTCACCACTAAAACATATCCTACACTGTATAGCGCAGCCTTTTCATCCACTCGCTGCTTAAAGTTCTGGATTTTCATGAGAGGGCCGACCTTGAAGTTCGCAGTGGACTAATCACTAAAACAGTTCAGCTCACTGGATAAACCTTGCAAGACCTTGATGAGTAATTCTACACAGTAAGGAGCTGTCTGTATCAAGCATCGTCTGTGGATAACAATCGCGTTTAACGTCACTGTGACGCAAGCTTTGAGGCGGAGGAGAAAAAAGTCTAAAAGACAAAAAGATCTAATTGTGAGCCGCTGATAATTTTCTCCGAGGACCTATGCAGAACAGGGCAGAGCAGCTCAGGGATGAGTAATCTTTGAGAAAGCAGAAATTTAAAAAATACAAAACCTGCTGGCTTAATTCTTTCATCTAAATGACAAATTTCTGTTGTTGTGTTTTGGGTGTATTGTGAGTTGTTGTGTTTTGTGGTTTTGGTTTATTGCATTTTCTTTTCTTTCTTTTTTTTCTTTTGCTGTTTAATTTATGCTTATCCAGAGCCAAAGCCTTAGTAGAAGAACACCGCCTTTTGCCCCTAGGGTCCAGGTAATGGGCCCTGTGTGAAGGGCACAAACTCTGTTTCGTTTTTTTTGCTCATTGACTGTTGACTGGCCTTTTTTTCTGTTTCCATACTTTGGAAAATGCATTTTTGGGGAAATGGCAGCTTTGAGTTTCCCTCTTAGTGCAGTGCATTGTGTCATTTTCCTTGATTTGATTTCTTGGTATCATTCTTATGATTAGAGTTCTTATAGCTCATTGTAACCCATACACATCATTATCCCCAAGTAGTGCATGCTCGACTAATCGGAGCTTATTTTAAGAGATGCTCTTGCATTGCCTGATGTCTTTGGACTGACTTCAGTGATTGACCTAATTGAAACAGTAGTTTAGTATTGTGTCTATGGCAATGCTGGTCGGTGTCTCTGTCAATCTTTCTAGGACAAAGATCTCTGTTTTTTCTTTCTTCTCCTGCTTCAGTGTGACGTGAACCCAGGCCTCGATAACTCTAACCCTGCACGCATACACAGAAGGGCTCCCCCATGTGCGAGTTGAAGTGATGCTAATTAGCAGATCTGAGCTGATGGCTGTGTGGTTTCATGTTGCAGTGAAAAGATACTGAGTTCACCATCCTCTTTGGAAAGCCAAAGCCAAAACTGCATTTCCCCCATTACAGATACCAGATTTAACGAATAAGCAAATTGTACCTCCCAAATAATAACTCCAAACAGAGCGAAGCCTGGAAGGCTTCTCTTTGCTACAAGCTGCCTGCTTTAATATCACTCTGTCTTTTCTGTGGTTTCTGTTTTATGGTCATTATTGATTTAGATAGCCTGAGGGTTAATATTCCTGTGTTAAACCTTAGATATTTATTTCACTGTTGTGTTGTTTTGCTTAAGCGAGATCTAAGCATCATATCCTATGTGTCGCTAATATTGTTGGTGTGTGTAACAGAGCATGCAGAGGAAAGGGTGCACTGCGTGCTTTCCAGATCAAACATATGAATCGTTCAGGTTTATGTGTGTGTCTACATTAATGTTGTTAAAGCCAGCATGTTTCAGTAAACTGCTTACTTGTTAGTTGGCTGTATTGGACACACTGTACATCAGACTCAGTAGTATATATTTAGGTGTTTTACTTATTGTTGCTAGTTTTTATGGTGAATCTTACTCTACATTTGAATTCATATTTTGCAGTATGTGGCATTTTGGTGGGCTAGAGATTACTTGGTACAATTTGTTTTTCCCATGAGCCCCCTGCTGTCTGTTTCGACTTGTCTTGAATGCTCTTTCCTGCATTGCTGCATGAACGGCGAGTCCTCTTAAACAGTGCAGACCCCTATCCATAATCATATTCTGAATGAAGTATGGACCAGAACTTAGAAGTCTTACTTCTCATTTCATCTGATTTCTTTTAAGGCTTCAGCTGGCCTTTTATTTCTTCTAAGTTTTTTCTCCTGGAGTCCATACTTTTCTTTTAGCGTGAACTGTTTGATTCCTATTGCAGCAGCATGACTGATTTCTCGTTATCGATCCCCACTGAATACTTGGGAGGACACTATTAGAGATGCCATCGTATAGGTAGATGGTGGGACAGTGTTAATTTTAGAGCATGTTGCCTTTAGCATTTCACTACAATTCACTCCAGCTGTAAAGGTCAGTTCCATTTAAAAAACTGTAATCAGACACACTTGAATACTATAGATTTAAAAAAAGAAACATAAGGATTAAATTAGAACACGAAAAGGAGAGTTTTTGCATCTTTAAAAATCATTATCACACCATTTTAACATTGATATAGTTTTAGTTTATGAAAATGACATCCTAGCAATTGGATACCCTCCTCCTTTTTCCTAAAGGGTAAATACAGGAGAAGACCCTGCACTGAGGCTTATACTGATTGAAAAGGTGTTGAACTCAACAAAAGGATATAGATGCATATGTGAGGACCTGATGAAGTTGTCTTCTCCTGCATTATTCCCTTTATGTGCTCTCATTTGTGCTGGCCCTGAGCTGTCTCTCAGCAGGCTGCCTCTGCTCTCCCCCCTCCCCCAGGTCAAACTGTGGTATGACAAAGTGGGCCATCAGCTAATCGTCACCATCCTGGGTGCCAAAGACCTGCCACCCAGGGAAGACGGCCGGCCCAGGAACCCTTACGTCAAAATCTACTTCCTCCCTGACAGAAGGTAAGAGTAGAAACAGTTCCTCTATTTCAGGGCATAATTTCCCTGATGGTAGAAAGACACTAAAAAAAGATTATGCAGTAAGGTCAATTTATGGGGGGCATTGATGTGAGGTTTATTTCATAATTATGCTCTTATTTTCTTATTAAGTAATTTATTCTTATGTATTGATGAGGAATGCAGAAAATGGACGTTAAGAAGCAGTTAGCACGTTCACTTTGCCATGTCGTTCCCTGCAGCTGCATGCTGTGGTGCTGTGCTCTGTGCTGTGTCGTGTGATGGATTTGTTGTATTCGTGGCTCTTCCCTATCATGATTGTAAATAAAAACAGTTTGAATTATTGTTCCTCCAGTGACAAAAGCAAGAGGAGAACAAAAACAGTAAAGAAATCCTTAGAGCCCAAATGGAACCAGACCTTTATGTACTCGCCGGTGCACCGGCGGGAGTTTCGGGAACGTATGCTGGAGATCACATTGTGGGACCAAGCCAGGGTGAGGGAGGAGGAGAGCGAATTCCTGGGAGAGGTGAGAAAACCAAACCCAAGCCCTCACAGAGACACTCAATAACAGTATCTCAGCTTATCCTCTTGAATAGTGTCAAGCCTTTAAGAAAGCTGCTGGCCATCACAAAGTGTTGGGTGGTCCAGTCCTTGCCTATCATGGATCAGGAACTTTCTTTTTTTCTGTTCGCGTGTGAGTGACAGAAAGGGCTTTTTTGGGGATTTACATTTTCTGTAAAAGCTAGCATGTTTTACTTTGCCCTGATTCCATCAGTGAGAAAAAAAAATATGTGAGCTTAAAACATTTGGAGTGAGGCCATTTTTTTTTAAGGAGAGAAAATTTACTTGGGCCTTTTACTTCTGCCAGATCCTGATTGAGCTGGAGACGGCTCTTCTCGATGACGAGCCACACTGGTACAAGCTACAAACACACGACGTGTCATCTATCCCACTCCCACGTGCCTCCCCGAACGCACAGCGCCGGCAGCTCCACGGAGAGAGTCCAACGCGGCGGCTGCAGAGTGAGTAACACCTCTGTCGCTCAAATGGCCCCAAAATGTGCTGAAAGTGACTATAAGAGTCAGAAGGTGGGCATCCTGTAGGAAAAACATTTTACCTGCTGTAATGTAAAGACATGTGACATTCATTCACAGTGTGAGATGGAAGCAGGTCAGCTGATTTTCTAATACCAATGCAGATACATTGGCTTCGGGTATCTGCTGATACCGACTATCAGTCCATTACGTGGGTTAAATTAATAATCCTTACTTTGAGTGAGAGACAGGGAGTCTTTGTTTTAATGACTCATGCTTGACTTAAACATTGCTTTTCCGAGCTTTACACTCAAGCAAGGTTACGATAAATGAAAGATTAAAAAACATGTTTGTTTTTTATCTAATTTATTTGCACCCTGCACAATATCAGAGTGTTTAATGTACTCTACTGTCACTGATGGTTCTCTGCCCTTGCTACGTATGCACCTCCTCACACCCCGCCACACACTACCAATGAGACAGGTGAAGCAATGACAGCAGCTAATAATGTGGCCTTAAGTGCAAAAACACATTTATACCAGCTGTGGCATGATAAGAGAGAGAAATCTGCAGCTATCAGAGAAAGAGTCAATGGAGGTTTTTACTCGTGTGCGTTTTGTAGCTTGTCTTCATGCGCGTTTCCTTATATTCCTTTTTTATTACTTGAAGCTTGCCATCATACAAATATATCTGTGGCGACAGACTCATGGCACCGAACACTCAGAAATCTAAATTTTAGCATTGAGATAAATGAAAACAACAATAGGTAGCTTTCTGATTTTTGTAGTTGTTTCAACAAACAAGGAGCCATATATATTTATCTGATCAGTGCCCATGCTGTTTGCCTGCTGGCTTTTTCTGTTGCTGCTTCAGGTCATCGAGGCCTTTACGGCCGTTGTTATTTCTGCATATTTTGTTTCTGTTGTCCATGTCACATCTACCTTACTGCTTCTGCTTTTACAGACAAAGGCTCTTATTCACACAACTCAGGTAAAGACCTTTGCCCTGCCAGACATTGCAGCTTTATGGAGCATCTGAGTGTCGTCCTCCTCCTCTTTAAACACACACCCTTGTGCCCCAATTCTCCACCCCTTTCCCCCCTCCCCCTTAACAGCTGACGCTTCTGCTGCTTTACGTGGATTTCTGTGCGGAGGTTCGGTGTATATTTTACACCGCTCGTTCCTTATCCACACAGAGCAGCAGAACCACAGACGCTGTGGGGAAACGGGGAGATTTAGGACACAGTGGTCTCTCCTTCTCTGTGTGTTCACCTGTTAACTGCCTCACAACCCCCACCCTGTAACCCAAAACCAGATTCTGCCAATCTGTATTCAGTCCTAATGTGATGTTATTAAAACCCGAGCTGTCCGCCCCTCCTGACAGACATAATTGGCCTATGACCACCTGCCTCTCCTCTGTCATGTATACTGTTTGTTATTTGGCCTATTATGAATATTTTCCTCTTAACAGTTGCACAGATTACCATTGGCACACTCTGCCCATTCTGCTTTTGCTTGTGTTTGTGTGTCTTCATTGTGAATATCTTCTTGAAAACGGCAGGCGACTGTGTTGCTTTTGTGATACTTCTTATTTACTGGCCTAATCCTCTAACACAGTTGGCATATTTACTCAAAAAAAGAAAAAGAGGAAAATAATATTTGATTGTCTGCATGCATGAAATATACAATACTCTTTATATAGGATATTTTTGACCCTTGTCTTACTATTGTTAGAGTCTTTGGCCCTCATACCTCCTAACACGCTTAAGAGGACTGCGCTGCAGTCCGTTATGCCATACGGCTTCACTCCGCTGCTTCTTTCAGCCACGGGAGGCTGGCTCGCTCCCCCACTAGGACGATTTTCTGGGCTTTGGTGTTAGCGTGAAGTGAAAGAGCTGACAGCTGTAAAAAGTTTTCAGCCAACTGAGATGAGAGGTTGGGAGCGGCACTGCCAGAGTGCAGCACTTGTCATTTCTGAAAAAGCACACGTGTCCAGTTGATTTAAGTTGAATGAACGGTGAAGGCGGTGGGGATGCGTTGGGTGGGGAGTGGGGGTGATAAGGCTACGGGGGAAGGATGAGGAAAGAGCTACACGGCCCTATCACTTCTCCCCGTCTCCACCTTTACGTGTGCACTGAATGATTGACTGCGCCATTTCAAAGTGCCACGGCTCAGATGAAGAAGGATCGGCTGCTCTTGTTGGGATCGAGCGGCGAAATGCTGCATTATTTGTTTTAGTTGGAGGGTTCACTTTGACCAGTGAGCATTACAGTCAGAGCAGGGGTGACTTATTATTTGAAAAAACAAACAAACATCTAAATAAATGAAAAAGGGAATGAAAATGACCTCTTTCTCTCTCTCTCTCTCCCCTCCATCTCCTCTTTCCTGCTTCTTTGCCTTTCGGTCTGTTTCTTTCTCTCAAAGGATCCCAAAGGATAAGTGACAGTGAGATCTCAGACTATGATTGTGAAGACGGCGTTGGGGTAATAACAGGTAATAAACAGTTCAAGGCCATATTAAGAAGGTCATCGTTGTGTGGCGTAAGTGAATCGAATCCACTCCATTTCACCAGAGCTGCATTACGATTCTTAATAATGTACTTAGCTAACCTCACTCACGTCGCCACCGGAAAGATGCTTACACACGTCATCACATCTCGCAGTATCGGGCTAAGATCCTGCAACCCATCAGCAAACAACAGCAGCAGCACAGTGAGGGAGCAGAGGGCTTTTTTGTCTGCCTCTGCACTGCTAGTTGCTGTCCTTGCTAAGGCTTCAGCAGCACGCCCACGCTGCATCAGAAAAGCAGAGACAGAGCTGCTAACAGCCAGAGAGAATAAGACAGGGGAAGGGGAAAAAAGACTGAGAAGTGCTTGAAATTTTCTCACATGAAATAATAACTAGGAAGAAAAATTATACTGAAAAAGACAGTGAGGGCTTAAAAAAAGGCTTCCTTTAAATTTTAAGCACAAGGTTGCGTTTGAGGGCAACATGTGCCTGTCTTTATATAATTGTTAGTTCTCCTTCTCAGTTTTCACAAAAAGACCACGGGACATGCTGTATTTTTTTATTTTTTTTTTGCAATTAAGCTTGATGGAAACAGCTACCTGCACTGTTTGTAGGTCGTTTCACATCACTCACCACGCAGAAGAAGCGAGTGGAAAAATGTGAGAAAACAAACAGGAGAATAGACAGTTTCTGTAGCAAACTGCGTGTCACACACACACACACACACACACACACACACACACACACACACACA